TAGGGAAATACAGGCTCTGAATGTGTAGATTCATTGTGATGAAGGGATGGGATCCAAACCCCCAGTGCCTCTCGGAGCTCAGTCAGCCAGGATGCAATGCAATCTGCCTTTGATCTAGCCAAGCTTTTGAAAATGTGCTGGACGTGATGCCTGAACAGTAGGCCCACTGAAGTCTCAGCAGACTTTTCAATTAAAAACCAAGTCTCAGATTAGAAAACACTGAATTAAGTAAGTGAATGCTGAACTTGGAGAAAACAATAACGAATTTCATCTTGGCATTCAACTGGAACAGAAGGTATCTTAAGAGCATGGGCAGATTGAGGGCCATTTTGTAGGAGAAAATAATACTCCTGGCACCTTTCTCCTTCAGCTACTTGAAAGTATCCTGTCTTGAGAGTAAGCCCAGAGAGCTAGACAAACTCTCTACTGCCTTTCCCAGCCTTTTGCTGAAAAGGCTTTGCTCAGGTCACCCTCTGTAGCTGGTTTTAAATAATGAATACATTTGAAGGTGTTAACAACTTTGTTTCAGTTAATTTCAAAGAAAATTATCAAAGTTAAGTTGTATCTGAAATCTGCTAACAGTTGAGTAGATTCATATAAATAGTGTTGGGTAGTGCAGCACCTTGTGCTCTTCACCTACACTGCGGTGCGGCTCTGGCAGGTTAAAACTGCCTGGCTTCTGTATGGGGGACTTGCCAGAGAGGAGTCGTCAGTGCTTTGCACTGGTGGGGATGTTGCCAATGGCTGTCGTGTTTCACATCCTTGCTGGAGACTTCCAGCAGATCACTTGCAAGGCAATAGAAAAAGTACTTTCTATTTCTTGGACTTTGGAATTTGAACATCTGAGTGAGGTTAGCTAATTCAGAGTGGGAACAGTACAATATGTTATTCTTAGTTACACTACCATAAAACCAAAGGATTTCTTTAAAGTCTTGTGATTTTGTGCAGGAGGATAGGTGAAACCCGTTTCTTCTACTTAAATTAGCCTGGAAGCCAGCTTAAGAGATAGCATTATTGGCTGCAAGAGAAAACATTCATAAAGACAACCTCACATCAGTTAGATATCACTTTTTCTTGTTAAATTATATAGCTGTCTCTTACTCTGTGTTGAACTGTATATATCTTCTTTTCCGAATGGAAATGAAAACTGCCCAACTCTGTGTTAGTTGTACCTGTAAGGCAAATGTTATTTTCTGCCAAGTAGAAGAGGCTTGTGGTGAGACCTCAGCCCAACTTGGTTCATTCCCACCAGCTGTGAAATGCTGAATGATCGCTGCCTGCATTCCACCAAGAACCACAAAACTGTGCCAAACTGCAGCTTAGCTGAAGTGTTGTCAGGATTTTACCGATACTGTGACAATTAGAGGACTGAGCCAAATATATGTGGTTTTTTTTTAGATCAGTTAGATTAGACTAAGAGACACATGCAGGTATATGTAACTATATGAAAATAGTGGTCTACTGTTTCTTAAAGCTAATGAGGGATACTACTGTGAGTGGGGATGACTTGTAGAATATATATTTGAGTGTATATCATATTTTTACATGTATAGTTGTTGATGCTGAAGGAAAGGAAAAACATGTTATGTATTGCTGTTTTCCAGCTTCCCTGTGTGTCTCTCTTCATTCTCAGTCAGTTGATGGCTTGAATTCTGTCTTCCTTGGCTTGTGAGTAAGGTGATTTGAGAGGGAAGTGTTCAAACTGCTTACTAAGCTCAGGCAGAAGACATCACTGCTCACTGACACAATCTGTTGAATGATGAAAAGTTACAGCACTTCCACATCAAAACTATTTTTCTTCCTAGTATCACTATGGGAGAGTATTACTGACTTATGTTTGCATCTGTTTGCAGGAATCTCGATGGCCTTACTTGTTTGGAGCGATCATTGTTCCTTCATTGATACAAGTCGTGATTCTACCTTTTCTTCCTGAAAGTCCTCGTTACCTCCTACTTGAAAAACATGACACGAGCAAGGCAGAAAAAGGTACGATGTGTTACTTACTTGCGACAATGGGTGTTTATTGTAGGGATACAGGCTGGAAGGTAATTCTGGTATCACAGTAAAAGTGGAATATTCCAATAGGAGAAATTATCTTCGCAATTATTTTTCCCTCACCTTTTTTGTATGTCTGTGTGTGTAAATATAACTATTGCTTTGAATTTGTTATAAATGAGTTCTTCAACAAACTAACCTATACATCATTTTGCATGGTGATACAAACCTAACCAAATCGTCCTGCTGTTATTCATCAGCCACTATATGCAGGGTTCATTTGGGAGTGAAAGGTGGTTTCAGACTTCGTGACTCTCCCTTATCTATAGTCTTTGCAGTTTGGCTAACAAAAACACTGATTCTGTTGCTGGGTTTTTTTCAGTAGTCACTGTGTTTGACCCTGTGCTTCTGTAACTTAATAACCTTTGCAGATCTAATAAAAAACCTCATGCACCTGTTTAACTGAAAATTTCCAATGCTTCCATATAGCTTGCTTCAGTTGCACAGACACAGACTAGTATATTTTATTCTTAGTTTAGATTCTATGTATAAAAGAATTTGCTTGTGTGATCACATCTGCTGTATACTCTGCTCCAGTAAAATTACTACAGTGAGTTATAAGTTCCAATATATCATCACGTTATGGCTGAGAGAATGTTGAAAATTTGATTTTGCTTATTATAGGGACACGTTAAACATAGGAGTGTACGAAGAAGGAAGGAGTCTGATTATAATACCATGTTTGCAGAACATAACTGTGCTTTAAAAATTATTCCTAAAAACTTCATTGGAATATAACCCTTAACATTTTCAGTCACTAACTAGTTGCTTGCAAAATTACTTGCAAGGTGTGAATCAGCCCCTGAAACTTAAATTTAATAATCTTTTAGCATGAAATTAATGCAACTCACTGTATCCTGCTTCTTCTACTATGAAATGAAAAACTGGCTTTTTTTGTTCCAATGAGCACTCTGAAATAGAAATGGCATGCTATTGAAGAGTTGTCTCAGTTTGGTGTTAAATGAAAAATTCTGTAAATGTTGGAGCCTCAGATGTTTAGAGATACAGTTCAGTGGGGTTTTTTTTTAAAAAAAAAAAAAGTGCAAAACCAACAAGGCTTTGGGGAGAGTTCTTTAGCTTTACAGAGTTAGCAGAGATGTGATGAGGCAGAGAACAGCTTTTCCAGGGATGGGGATGGAAAGGGCTTGCCTGCCAGCTGTGCTCCAAGCACCCAGCAGGGACACAGTGGTGAGCAGCTTGGGGCTGGCTGTTGGGTAGTAACTTCTGCAGCACCACGGCTGGGCTGGGAAGAAACGCCTTTAGGTGCCAAGTTCAAACTGGCTCATTTCTACCTGACAAAATTGTGGATGTACTTCTAGAGCTATGACTGGCAAAGAGTTTGCATCTGCAATGTTATTGCATAATGTCACACTTGTTATAGGATCTGTTGGAAATCCTGCCACAGTACCTGGAAACCTCAGCACTGACAGTGAAGCTGGGCCTCTCATAGGTAGAGTTTAAAAATTGTAAAAAATTGGCAGTAAAATAACACCACCTGCCTGGAAATTCACACCATTTACTGTTGCTGGAAATGGGTCAACTGCAGTCTGGGATGTTTTCAGCATACGTGTTCTGAAAATGATTTGAAAGCTAATTTAGAAGCATTGAAGGCGGATTTTGGAGTAGGAGAGCAAAGTTACCCCCACCTTATTTGGTAGCTGAAGGGAAATGAACTTTAGCAATTGCCTTTCTGATTATGAGAAGGTGGCTTTCATGAGCCACCTTAAAGACTGTAAATTTAGATACTCTGAGAAAAAAAAGAGGAGACTGATATAAAAAGCTTGTCAGAGTAACTGCTTATCAATGGAAGCTTTTGGACCTGATTAATTCTAAAAGAAAAAATTAATATTGGGATATGTTGTAGTGCAGGGTGAAACTATTTTTGAGTGTAGTCTACAAAGCTTTCGAAACAGCTAGGAATCGATGATTCTAGACAGAGGTTTGCAAAGGACCATAGGACAGTGAAGTGTATACATCCCCCTGAATTTCCCTCCCATTCCTTGCCTATCAAGCAGCCATGCTTCCAGAATTGGCCACCTTGTTGCACAGGCAAGGTAACCTGTAGGATATCAGGTGCAAAATAGTTAAGAATGATTCTTAGACATAATTTTGGAGTTCATAAAATCCACCTGTAAGGCAGCATAGATCATATCATCTTATACTTCTGTGTTATAAAGTATCTACATGCCTTATTATGAAGCATGTTAGGAACAAAAGCAGTTTTCTTACCATTGCACATCCTTTGTAATTGCCCGTCTCCTGATACAGATTTGCAAGCAAGAATATCTTCGAATCTCTGTTGAGCATGTGGATAGGAGGGGAAGGAGTTTGGTTGATTCATGGAATGACTGGGCAGAGGACACCAGTGATGTTAGACCACTGTGGGGGGGTTGGAGCCCTCCTCCCCACCCCAGGGCACATGGAGAAATTCAGATTAGGCATGAGCCAAGTTTTGGGTATCTGGACTAATGCAGTGGAATAATGAAAGAAGGTGGGGAGGGGAATCCACAAAATAGGAAGGTGAATAAGTGTGAATCAACAATCAAGAAAAATCATTTGGATGTTAGCATTATCTGCAGAAATGGGAGAGGAAAAGCCTGAGTATTAGGGAGACCAGAAGAGTTTGTGGGTTGTTAAAAAAACCTCATGCTTGTAAGCCTGATAATGAAAATGGGGTATTCTCCATTTTAATCATGACTACAGTAATGCTTTTGAAATATTTGGCTCTTAGGTTAAATCTGCATATTAATATCAGAAATGTGCAAGTCTGTCTTCTAAATCCTTTTCCTTTCCCCTAACGGATCAAGGCTATTCAAGCAAATATACATTTCACTGTGGATTATATCTTGTTGGAGAAATATAAAACTGTTATTTGTAAAAGGTCTGCTGTATTTAAGGCAGATGACTACATTAGTCTTTATAAAATACTCTCAAATGTATGTGTATGTCAAAGCTTCTAAAATGGAGATGACAACATTAATCTTCCTAATTGTTTTAGAGCAATAAAAATCCAGTAGGGTAATGTAGGTCATTGAGTTTCCACAAAGTTGTGCTTCTGCTTTCATCCCCTTCTTTTCTTCTGTCCTCAAGAGATAATCAGACTATAACTACCAAAATACAAGCGGCCTCATTCTCTTTTTTTGGCAGAGATATAAAAGAGCATGATGTCTTTAAGTGGCAAATAAGAAACTGAAAGAGAGAGAAGGAACAAAGTGTGTTGTGTAAGTGATACAAAAAGGGAAGGGATGAGGTTAAAGCAGTCAGGCATCATATATGAATGTAAACCACACTACCATGAGAGAAGCTACTCTGTGAGCACAGGAGTAATGAGCACTCAGATGGGTCATGTCTCCTGAGCTGCATTAACAGGGATCTACCCGTTTCCCTGCTTTCCCCTTTATAGCAGTGCAAACGGTGCGCGCTGTGGGTGGCTGAGCTGATCAACTGTACAGACACCATGGCTGACTTGCAGTTGTCCACTGCCAAAAGCAATGCTAACAGCTGAGCTTTGCTTGTCTTCCTGGAGGTCACCATCCTGACTGACAGGAGCTGAGCAGTCTCCCATATTCCTGTCTCACTGCTGAATGTGGAAGAAGTGATTTATGTGTTGGGGGAGGAGAACAGTTGACTGGACCAACAGTGCAATCTGTAAACCTCCTTTGCTCAAGAAGCTAAAAGTCTGGTAATGGGGAGAGGGTACAACCATCCCAGCTCTCCTCCCAGGTCCCGTAACTAACATTCTGGTCTCTTGATAAGAACAGAAGGGAGAAAAATGCCCATCATTTAGCTGGTGTGATCCTTCTTCATAATGCTTACCAGACAGTGGAGGAGAAATAGGTGTTTAAATTGTTGAGGAGAAGGACTTTGGAAGGAGATTGTTAATCAGTTGCTAGAGAGCAGTGGGAATGAAGAGTAATGGAGATAGAAACGAGAAGAAAAAGAAAAACCTCCTGCTATAATTACATCAGGCAATTTACCATTCAAGCTGTAGGACAGTAAGCGACAGTAAGACGTGAATTTGACATTAGTTGTCTATTAGTTAGCATGCTAAGTGGATCGCTGATCTGTGACTGAGGCAATGATGCAATATAAATAAAAACAGTAGTAGTAGTGTGATAAAACTGAACATATTTATGCCTAACAACATTGGTTATAAACACTTTCAGTTGGAGAGTTGACATCTCTTTTGAAGAATACTGTTCCAAGGAGGAAACATGCATTTTTGATGCAGCTACAGTAGCAGGTCATGTAAATCAATAATGGAATTCAGCTGGCATCCCAGTTTGCCAGAGAACAAGAATATTGTTTTGTCTTAAGGGTCAAATAGCTTAGGTAAAATGTCACAGTAACATCTGTTGGTGACGTACAAAATCTGTTCAGCTAGTATGTTCAGTCATACATTAAAACTCCCATGGTTATGAAAGAAGCATTACAACAGGTGTAATGAGAAGTGTGGATTTAAATTCTTAGAAGGATGGCTTAGAGTTGATACCTTTTGATGTTATAAAAGAGCAAGGCCATTCCTGATTTTAAAAAGCAGGTAGCTGATTTTTTGCAAAGCCCCTCATGGGGCCCACATGGGCAGGAGAGAGATTAAAACCAAAGTTATGGCAGGAACAAATTACTGCAAATCCAGTGATTTGAATGAAGTTGTTATGACTGACAGAAAGGACATACATGACTTATTTTTGCTTATCTGTGGTTTTGCTATGTCTCTAAGCATTATAAACTATGCTTGTTGGAAAGGAAGAGACAGCCATGATTACGACACTTGCTGGCTTGTGGTAGAGGCGCTATCTCAGATGCTTGCTGACTACCAAAAGCTGGAGTGATCATGATGTGTCTGTTTTGTTTTTAAACTTTTCTTAAACCTCCTGTCTTTTACAAAGGATACTTGGTTCACTGGACCTTTGATACAACTCAGTTTACCGATTCTTGTGTTATTTTAGGGTGGCATTTGGATATTTTGTTTTACCTGCACAACTTGACTTGGCTAGTTTCAAGTGAAACTAGCCTATTTTGGCCTATTTTGTTTTGATGGTCTGTGAAACCAGACGTAAGAACAGGTAAAGATGTAATCCCAAACTGGATGATAACTCACAGCAGATCTATGTGTTCCTTTACTTAGAAGGAGAAGGAAGTGACACATGGGAAAAACCTGAAGCCTTTTGCTTGTAGTTATGTTTACTGAATTGGAATAGCAAATTTGAGATTTATTCTTAAACGTTGCTATGCTACATGCTAGTGGTTAATTAATATTTTGCTAGATTTAAATAGCTATTTAAATCTCTTCTAGCAACATACATCTGAATTGTTCTTCTAGCTATTCAGTACTCTAATAAAATTAGTGGTATATGAAAATAATTGTTTTTTCGTTTTGCCAAATATTTTTATGTCGACATGAAGTTACTACAGGGAAATTACTACGTATCCAGTTCAAAACCATTGAAGTTGGATGAACTTTTTGCAAGTGCTGAGACTAGCAGCAAGATACCCCATATGTCTATGGCTGCTCAGAATAGCAGCCAGCATTAGTAGGAGATGCCAGACTGGGTCCATCTAGCCCAGTATTGTGTTTCCCGCAGTGGCCAAAGAAGATGCTGTTTAAGCAGAGCTTAGACAAAGCTTTATGTTAAAGACACTGGGTTTAATAAACGTAGTCATCAGTGAAGTGAAAGTGAATGTGTCCATGGGAAACGGATGACAGTAATACTCATGTCGCTTCTTTTTTTCCTTTTTTTTTTTTTGTTTTTGAAGATATAAGCCCAAACTACTACCTGTGACCACTTCTGTCTTTTTCTGCCTCCTCTTGCCTGGGGCTGACTCTGTTCTGTAAACTACACAGTAGCAATTTGATCCTTTAAAATGTCTTCTCAAAGTTTATATGCAAATTCAGTCTTTATGATAACAACTGCTTTCTTTGCACGGTCCTGGAAGGACTACACTGGAAAAAGAATTAGTAATTCCCCAGGTAGCTGAGTTCTTGAGTGTCCATCTTCAGTTAATTTAAAGGCCTGATTGGTTTTAAATGCAGTACCGACTGATTTCATTCAGACCTTTGAACCACTTTCAAATGTTTCACCTTCACTTACTTAGCTGAGAGGAATAAAAACTGGTGATGTAAATAGAAGGGTTTCCTAGCTTCTTTGCCCTTGACTGGAACCATCCGCTTCTTTTGCTATGTATAAACACAGTGTCCCGACATTTGAAAGCTGAGCATCCAGGACCTTCTGATTCAAGGGAATTAAAAAGAAATCTGGGAAAGGTCTGAAAGTTGCTAGAACTGTAACTCCTTAGATGGTTTTAAGGGTGACATGAAAGTAAGACTTCCCTATAGAAAGAAGCAGCCAGTCACAAAGGGAGATAAGTCATTGCAGTGGGGAGAAGAGCAACTGCTGTGCTTCTCAGTGCCAATAATGCAGGAGTTAAAAATGTAAACTTGAACATCATACATTGAAAGACCTTGAGTTTTCCCATATCCCTGCTAATCCAGAATTTATTTCCACGTTATTTATGTAGAAAATTATGATTCTTACTGTACTAAAAAACTGTTAATGGAAAAAGATTGAAGATGTGTTGAGTAGCAAGAAAATGTGTTTTTCCAAGAAGACTGAGTGTTGTCTACTCAAAATTATGCATGTATAGCATAGCATTTTCTTAGCATTTCTTGACTTTTTGGTAATTTTAAGTATCCGTCAAAGTTTCCTAGTGGCATTTACATCTCTACTCCTAATAACAGGGAGGGAAGAAAAAGAAAGCAGGTGTCTATATTTTTCTTGCCTTGTACTTGGTAATTTTGGTAATTGCAGTTTTTTACTTCCTGGTCCCTCTAGAAATATAGCAGGCTCCCTTGTGCAGAAAAGACAGATTGCTTTCTTTTTACTTGACTGCACCTATATTTTTGACTTGTGTGCCCTACAGTAATGCCGACGATTCTAAGGACAGGAAAAATAAAGAAAATTGTGCACTGACCTAATTTACACTGATAAACCAGATGCTTAAAAATATGAGAGAATCTTTTCAAATAAGAGTACGGCTATATATGTCTGTTTTTTCTCATCTTTATCTGAATTTTTCTCTATCAATGCTCTAATAATACTGAGGAAAGGGTAATTTAAGCATGAGATATTGACTTTAACGTACCATAGGCACACATTTTTCTAATTTTATTTTTCTTAGAATTGTCTTTAAATACATCACACTCATTTTAACGAGCATTTAGCATGTCATTTAATAACAACTGGGCAATGGCACAAGGACAGAACTCAGCAGTTTAAATTCTGGGTTCTGAGGTCCAAATTTGTTAACCTCTTTCTGATTGTAAGGCCTGTGTGAAAAGATAAATCTCATGCCATTTCTGAGGGATTTAAAAATTCTGACCTCTCCTCTCGCAAGAGAGAAACTGGATATCAGAATAAATGAATGTTATGAATTGACTCAACACCCAGAGGTGGTCAGTGTTCATCCTTAAAAAAATCATCCTTCTTGTTAAGCAGAGTCATGTAGGGCCCTTTAAAATGCAACAGAAGTGCTAACTGCCTCTGAAAATCTTGGCCCGGAGCTTGAGTTAGTTCCCCACGCCACCAGACTGAGAGCCATGCAGACTGTGCAACATTGGGCATTCGCCAAAGGGACAGAGAGGGATGCTCCAGGGAAGCCACCAGCTCATTTGTGTGACCTATCCCTCACAACATTGAAATGCCACTACTTGGCATTTTCACTTACTGGGTAAAGTTAAAATTTTGTAACTTCAAAACCTAAATGGAGTCCAGGCATTTTAACCATGACTAGTCAGTGTCTCTGGCTTTCTTGACCATCCAAGTCCTTTCTGTGATCCAAAAGAATGTATACTTACTGAAAAATGTGAAGGTCATTTATTTATAGGCAGTACTGTGCAAAGCTGTGGATAAGAGAAAAATTGATTTCGCTCTTAGGAGAACTAAATCAACTTACTCACTTAATAAAAATAACAATTTTAAGTGACCTGCTGTGTAAAGGATTGTTTTTAGAGTTAGCATCCTACTGGGTCATAAAGCCTTGTTGCAGGGGTATGTGTAATGTAGTTGTTTCTCTGCAGTCGTTCCAAGATAATGAGCATTTTAAACATCTCTTTAAAAAGCTGACCCCTGGGGTATGTTCATAAGCTTGTGACAAAAGTATCATCAGCATATATGGTATCTGTAAAACAAGGTTGAAGAGATATACCACCTCCATTAGGAGGTATCTGTTTGTAGTACCTCTTGGAGGAGGTGTGAGATGGACGGCTTTTATTATTCATAGTGGAAGGATATCTCAGTAAGTCATCGATGTGCAATAATATAATATTAAATGGTATGTTTTCTTCTGGGGAGATGAGGTTGGTTGGTTGCTTATATTTACCAGGTGAATTCAATTCTGTGTCTCCAGCATTGACAAACAGAAAATCTTGAACTGCTCTGGGTAATTCTTTCTAATATTAGTCATTTTGACAAAGTGAATTCTTGTCTATATGCTAGTAAAAACAAGAGATAATATGAAGAGTAATTGCTATTCCTTTCAAATGTCTGCCGTTTCTTGGTTTAGCAGACTTACTTAAGTTTTTACATCTTATTACTGCTCTATCCAATCTATCTCTATCAACCAAGTCTGCTATATTGTTAGGCTGCAAAAGTAGCCAAGTCAAATAATGTTCAGAACTGCTTTGCTATTAAACCCATTTTTCAGATTATACAGGATTTTGACTCTGCACTGGACCTTAGGCTATGTTATATATGAAATAATACAAGGAGATACCTGGTAAGGTGCCGAATAATTTACATTCTTGTAGTTTCTGAGACCAATTGCAGGACTGAGCAAAATCATACCAAGAGCAGAATGATACTGTGGGCAGAAGAGCAATTAAACTGTAGCCCATGTATGTCTCCTGTTTGTGTCACCCATTTTGATGAAACAAGTCTGTTATAAATGCACATAGTGCCAAGTGTCCGGCCTAAAGTACATGTCCTCTCTTTGTAGCATTTCAGACCTTCCTTGGGAAAGATGACGTGTCTCATGAAATAGAAGAAGTTTTGGCAGAGTCTCGAGTCCAAAGAAACACCAAGTTAGTGTCAATACTTCAGCTCCTGAGAACCCGTGCTGTACGATGGCAGGTCATTACTGTGGTCATCACCATGGGCTGCTACCAGCTCTGCGGGCTAAATGCTGTAAGTGTCCTTCTTCAGGCCATGGCATATCCTGTGGTGCTCCTTTCTTTTTAATGCAAGGTTTGTGCTATGCCATTCAGCAACATCTGTGACTTTCATTTTTGGCTGTTTCTTATTAATAGTGATTTTGTTACACCGGTATGTGGGAAGGTCTGTGGAGATATGTATAATTTGGTGGGTTTTAACAAAAAAAAAAAGGGAGGGAAGCCTTGTTGTGTTAGCTTTGAAGGAATACGTGAAAAGGTGGCACAGATCAGCAAAGAAAGTATGTGCAGCTTCTGCTTCTCATACTCAGATACATCCCATGTTTGTTCATGTTAGGTAAACTTGGTCTTTTCAAGTAGATGTTTCTGCTTGGATTAAATCCATTCTGTATTTACAGAAGTCAGCAGAAGTTCCTGTAAGTGATTTTAAGAGGTTGCACTGGATATTTGTTTTTTGTTGTTGTTTCATACAATTTGAAGAATAAGCTGTGCTTCAATATGCCTTTCCAAGAAAGTGGAGCAACAGAGGAAAAAAGACACAAAACAGTCAATAGCAAGAAGTCTTGTTGACCATTAATGTGTATGAGGCTAATGGATATCAAAGTCTCCTTTTCCATCTGTCTATTGCATCAGCTAGGACAGGATCACAGGACAACTTAGGTTGGAAGGGATCTTTGGAGGTCATCTGGTCCAGGCCCCTGCCCAGAGCAGGACTGACTTCAGGGTTGGCTGAGGCTGCCAAGGGCTTTGTGCAGTTGAGTTTTAAATACATCCAAGGGTGAAGAGTCCACAACCTCCCTGGACGACCTGTGACAGGTGTTTTCACCACTGTGAAAAGCATTTTCTTTGTATTCAGCAAGAACTTTCCTTGCTGCAGCTTGTGACATCTGGCTTAGATGCTTTATGTTGCGCAACACAAATGTTCTCATGGAGCACCTCAAAGCAAAAGGGGTCTTCGTCATAGTTCAAAGGTGTTAATTGCTTATATATATGAATGGCATTATTATTGCTGCTGAAAGGAGTTCTCACTGTGGCTTTGTGCATTACAGCATACTTCAGCTAGTTTTTTTCCCCCACGGCTCATCAGTGATAATAAGTATAAATGTTTCTGATAACTAAGACAACTAGTTCAGGCTTATCTCAAGTATTTCTATAGCTTTAAAACTCCTATTACAAAGTAATTTGTCCAAGACCATTTGAAAGATTAATGCTATTAGAACCCTGGTATCTAAAAGTTTTTAACAAAATACCAGGAGGGAACTAGAAGATTTTTTCATACTGTGGGGTGAACTGTTAAAACGTTTGTATAGGTGGTGTTTTCTTCTAATTGTAGGATTTCAGTACTAATGACAGGCTATTTTGTTCCTCATTGTGGATACTTTTTTAAGAAAAGAAATGGAATTATCTTGTCATCCAGTCTTTCTAAGATTTATCAACGCATAAGTGTTATAAAATGACACTTATACTAAGACTGTTCAAATAGTGAAGTAAATTACCTAAAAAAGAATGCCACAGCTAAATTTTCAGGGGAAGTAGAAGAGTTTTGTGACTTTGAGGATATTTAATAGATGACAGAAATTGTCTGTTACTCCATGGCAGAACAAAGCCACACTCTCATAGCTTGAGTGAGGGTCCAGAGGGGGATAGTGAGACATGTCCAGTCCAAAATAGCTGCTAGAGTTCTTTTAAAGTGCCACTGGGTGGCCACTTTCTGAAAATATGCCTCAGAAAAAATATCTGTCAGTAAACCTGTGTGTCAACTTGGCTGTTTCAGGCCTTACCTTTTTTTTATTATTACTATGTTTCTCCTCCCATGCAATGCCACTAAACGTGAAGAAAAATTATTCACACAAAAGTTGCATTCTGAAATTTATTATTGTAATAGTTAATAGTGACAGGTAATAGAAAAAACAAGTAAATTATAAAAGAGGTCAGGAGAAATAACTAAACCACTTGATTAAGGGACCAGGTTTCAATTCCTTTCTCTTTTGCATGGCTTTCCTGGCTGATCTTGCTCAAGTCACCTAAAGCTCAGAGATTAGAGGACAGGTACAGGTGTGACAGATACTGCTGCACCCCTTTTCCCCGGCCTTGGTTTGCCTGACTGCATCTGAACTAACCTGCTGGGTGTGAGCCAGCGTCAGCAAGGTTTAACTGGCTGTGAATCCTTCCTTCTAACTCATACCGCTCATCATTTGCTTTGTCTGTAGTGCCCTGTTAGTCAAGCTCGTCTTTTCCACAACTACCATCTGGGCAGGGCATATGGGAAAGTTGGAATTCTTTCAGGCAAGAGTCTCAGGTCACTCTTCAGGGAAATTACCAACTGGCAGACTACTATAATCATCCTGCTGGTATCTGAGAACACTTGCTTCCTTTTAAGGCTTTGACTTTACAATAAAAACTTGTTTTGCTTAAAAACAGTGCATTTGTTGCTTTCCACATGGAACAGAAATCATGGTGAAGCCCTGATCATATTATATTCGTTATAACGAAATACCAGACAGTCTGACCTAAATTGACATAAATACATGAATCTGTATTAGTCTCTTTTAATCTGATAAAATTTAACCATGATACATATCATCCATAATAAATTTATTTATCTTCCACCATTGTATCTCAGTTCTAAAGAACACACAAAACTACAGTGAAGTTCTCATTGGTGAACTTTATCCTTTTCCATATCAAGAAATATACTGTACTGCATATTGCTTTAAGAGAGTCATTGCCAAAGTGGGATCCTTAGGCTTCTGTAGCGTCTGTCCTTAAGACAAAGGGCTGTGTTTCAAATGGCAAGAAATCCTGCTGGGGATGTGCAGCAATGCATGTTTTCAGTATGCCAAAGATCTACCATGGTGTGCTCTTCCCACTTGGTATAGAGAACACCTGTCATGAGGTAGCGTAGTAAGGGGTGAGTATGCAGTGTGCAACACAGTATATGTCTGTGTTATTGCCCGTCTGTTTTTTGTTGGTTTCTTTTGCTGTTGAAGAGTTGAATTTCTTAGGAAGAAATGTATGTAGGGAACTGGATGAGAAATAAAAGGACTGGAAAACTGAGTCAATGCTAGAGCGGTCACTGGTGTAGAGAAAGTTTGGGAACACCACTGATAAAGTATATCGCGTGCCACTTTAAGCTAAGAGCTTATAGGAGTAAAAGCTTACAATAAGCAAAGAAAGAAACTTCCGTGCAGCTAACTGTAATCTACAGACAAGAATGCTAAAATGTTACCTCCAAACTCATAGAAATTGGACAGCACAGATCAGCTATTCCTCATGGCAGTTGTTTAACTGACCAAAGTGGCAAAGTTTTACTTCAGCCTGTGAAGCAACAGCAACCCATCGTGGACGTAGAAAGTCAGATGTCCCTGTGTTGATTTGGAGTCAACAGCAGTTGTTTCTGGGTTTTTGGACCTTCTGCCCCATTTTCCACAGCTCTTTAATTCCAAAACTTTTAGTCCAATCATTAGCTAATTTTCTTAGCTAATGAAAACATTAGCTAACAAGAACCATGTTAGAAAAATAACTTAAGTGAAAGTAGAATAGTCATCATTAACCTAGTAAGTTTGTCTCAGTAGTATCCTAGAGCAATATATTTCCCTGTTTAATGATACACAGACTGAAAAGCATTCACTTTTATTGCTTTGAAATTTTACTTTCAACAAGCACATCTTGTTCATTTTTACCCTTATTTTTGTGCTGCTACAGAGGCTTGTGAGTCAGAGAACCTCATCCTGTTTTTGCTCTGCCAGTTTTTAAGTCTAACTGTGTTACTACTGCTCTTACGGTCAGTGGTCAGTCATGCTCTTCTGTAAAACCACTTGCATCTTATGTTCTAGTTGTTACATTTTGGCAGATTGCATTCAGGAGTTGTCTGCTTAAGTGACTCTGGCCTCTCTCTTCTCTTTCAAGGTCTGCATACCTGCAATATTGCTATCAGTTTTAAAAGCTCAACGTGCTATGCAAAACTGATACCAAGAATGAAATGCCTAAATTACATGGTTTCTAATTTCATTGCATGAATTCTTCAATCTAGTAACTTGTAGTACGGAGAAAAAAATTACTTCTCTCACAGCTTTGGGCTACCTTGTTTTCCTTATGTACTGCGTAAGTGTATGGGAGGTGAATAGGTTGTCAGAGTACTGGGTCCCAAAAAATTTGTAAGTGGGCGTAACCGTTTCAGAGGGAGTTGTGAGCTGATCCTTGGTTTTGCTTCAGTCTGTGCTGTGTAGACCATCGAAATGCACAGTTAGCACCAGCGCACACTACATGAAGGCAGATTACTTCATGTAGGGAAGTTTGCTGCTATCACTTGTTGTCACTGCATCTATTCTGGTGAGAGCTGATGTGTTCACTCAGCTTCTCTTTATCTGTAAGGTGATATAGGTGACTTTTTAGTCCTTGGTATTTTATTTTACTTTTGTTGTATGTCAGATGGGTTGGATTTTCTTTGTTGCTCTGGGACAAGCAACCTTGCTGAAGGGGTAGTTGGGAATTTACAATTACTTTTTTATTTACAAAGCTTGCGAGTTAGTAGCTTGATGAACAGATGTAGCATGTGCATAATATCCTGGCAGGCAGCAGGGTTTTCCTCATGTGATCAAAACACTTCCATTCATCAGAGAAGCCTTTTCTTTAGCAGTGCTTGCCCTGTTAGGGCTTGTCACATGGACAGCATATGGGAAAAAATATCACTGCTGCTTTTACATTTAGTGCCATCATTATCTCTGGCTTTCAGTTTTCGTGTCACAGGTGAACAACTGTGGTTTAGGACTTTATTTTCTTCTGATAATCAGTTACTTCAATTGTTTTTCATCTTCTTTAGTGAGTCAATCATCTTTTCTCTCTCCAAGGCAGTCTCTCCTTGTTGCATGCTTTTGGCAGCCAAAATCTTTGGCTAGTTCTTTGCTGTCACCTTGAGTCCAACATAAATATTATGTGGTTTTCAGACTTTATTTGTTATGTGAATGGGACTCTGATACTTACCAGACTTGTTACTTTAGAGTATTACCACTATGTATTCTCTATTTGTATATTGTCACCAGTAGATACAGCTTTACTGACCAAACATGAATGATTTCCTCTAAGCTACTAACCCTATGCTCCCTGTGTTTCTGTCCATTAGTGATGGCTCCTTCTAGCCTATGATCCATTTAATCCTAAAAGCAGCTTTTTACTTTTCACCAAGCAACTCTCACTCTAAAAGTGTCTTTTCTTTATGTTAATAATAAAGAGAGATTAGGGTGATGGCTTGACTGCAGATGTCCACACTGCGGTGAGGTTAAAGTGAGATAAATCTCACACCTTACACCTTCTGTCTGAAAAGGAGCAGTTTCTGCAGTGTCTGTCAGCATCTCTTTCCTGTTCTCTCCTCTGTTGTTATGTGCCATTGAAGTATTCCATAAAGCCACGCAAACCTGATTTTTGAGCAGTGTGGCTCAGCCTCACGAAACCTATTTGTATCCTCTTGTTCAACCTTAAAGTGAGTTTCTTTGATTTACTCCTAAAGTGAATTCAGCTAAATCGAGTTAAATATGCTTGTAATTCTGCCTGGGTCTGCAGGCAGAAGTACGGCAGTGGTGTGACTAATCCACCTGAAATTTGCACCTTCCCTTCATTTTTTGTCCTGCCCAGCCCTCTGGCATTCAGATGTGCTCAGTGTTTTAACAACTCTGGTCTCTGGCAGATCAGATGCTTGGAACTGAATACTGATATATTGTAGTTCAAGCCATAATGATTAGTAACTCATTTTCTTCTCTCTGATACAGATCTGGTACTACACAAACAACATCTTTAGTGAAGCTGGGATCAATCATGAAACAATCCCCTATGTTACTCTAAGTACTGGTGCTGTTGAGACTGTGGCTGCTGTTTTTTCTGTAAGTATGGTTATAAAAATCCATTAACATGCTTGATATTTAAATTACTGATTTTATTTCCTTATACAGGTTAAAATATAAATAGAATAGTATATTGAGGATTAAGTGTAATGGTTGATAAAGTAATTAAAAATATTATTTTGAGGTTTAATCCTAAACCCAGTTTTGTGGCTTGGGATTTTTTTTTAAGATGCTCTATTAGTTTTAGTTGCATAAAAGGAGCATAAAAAGTTGATACATCCTGAGGTGCTTTGTATGAGTGAAGAGAATGAAGGCAGGAACAGCAAGGCCCAAAGTGTATTAGGTGATAACTCATAAATGATTTTACCTGGTAGAATTACTTTGCCTGGTAGCAATTTATTCATGTCTCGGAGTCTTTTCATGTGCTTTGCTGGGAAGCAGGCAGTGTTGCTGGAGAAGACAGTTTTGTATAGCATCTTACGAACAGAGAGGAAAATTCTTCAGCCATTTGAAAATATGGGAGTAAATGTTTGGAACCCAGCTTGGTGGAAAAGTAAGCCAGCACGCTAGAACAAGGTTGTCCCATGTTGTGTTAAATTCTGCTATCTCATTCACCAAGGGCAAGCAGGCATCCTTTCATAACATGTGAGCTCCTGAGTAGGTCGTGTACCTTTGCTATGCACTGAACGTAGAGGAAGATGTTAATAGAAAGAATTATCCATGCACATTTTTTTTCTTTCCTATTTCAAAATGGAAAAGTTGACTAGGAAAAAAAATATACATTAAATGAGCAAACTAAACCTGAAAGTTTTAGGAGGTTAATACACAATTAATTGCTAAAGGAAATACATTTCTGTTTGCACTGCAATAAATAAGAAACAATGGGACAGGTCTTTGGAATGGAAAGTTGCAAACAAGCAAATAGTCTTCTTTCTTTGTTAGAATTTTTCCTTATCTTCATATATTCTATACCAACTGTATTTGCACAATACTGGACACGCCAGACAAGCATTTTTAAATGTCAAAAGAATGGTTTTGCCAAAAAAATCCTTTCCAGTGGCAGAGCAACTGCTTATGACCTATAAAATGTTAAACTAAATCCAGCTATCAAGCGTATTTTCTCATAGTCTAGGACATAAGGACTCTCAGAGGTCACAAAGATCTTCTTCTGATCTTTGTGAATTTCCACAAATCTATTTTTGGGTAAACCTTTTTTTTTTTTTTAATTAAAGGGATATTCTTTTTAATAGGTGGAAATAGTGAAGTATGGAAATCTCTACGTCTTAAAATTTCTTCTTTGTGATACTGCAGAAATGCTTCTTTGTTTAAGATATAAATAATAATAATAATGATGATAATTCTGCTGGTGATTTAAATGAAGAATACACATCTTTTTTGTGGAAACAGATGAAAATTACATGGAGATGATTCCATGATATTAAAGCCATTCTGTAAATAGGTTCTGTCATCTTTTCAGTTCCTTCTGTACTATCAGCTTGTGGGGCTTATTCAGAGCACACTGTTCATACATAATGAGATTAGTATGTCTGCGTTGGTTCCTGGTATGTGTGGTAACTTTTTTAATGCCCAAGAGGAGTGTTTTTAATACTTTTTCTGTTTAAGCTACTCACTATGCCTCTGAAAATGCTGATGTATTGATATGTCCACTCCCTTCAAATTTGTGCTTTCAGTGCAAGAGAAACACTGCTTTGTAGCCTTCATTTTATTTCAGTAACCTTCATAAATGTTTCATTGCTGCTGTTTAAAGGAACAACAGCATGAATTTGTTGTTTCAGTTCAAGGTTTTGCATCTTCTCATTTCTACAAGTAACTTCGTCTAAAATTTTTTCGTATCTAGATCTAAGGATGAGGGATTTCCTCCCACTCCCAACCTTTCATCTGTTCTGCTTTGTAGCCTTCATTTTATTTCAGTAACCTTCATAAATGTTTCATTGCTGCTGTTTAAAGGAACAACAGCATGAATTTGTTGTTTCAGTTCAAGGTTTTGCATCTTCTCATTTCTACAAGTAACTTCGTCTAAAATTTTTTCGTATCTAGATCTAAGGATGAGGGATTTCCTCCCACTCCCAACCTTTCATCTGTTCTTTTCGCCCTTTTTTTTTTTTTTAATCTATTGGACAGCATTAAATATTAAGTCAGGGGCATATGTTTTATGTACTACTCAGAGGGAAGAAGAGAAGCAGCAGGAGAAAGCAAGGGGGGAACTTAATTTTCCTGGTATTTTTTTATATATTGTGCTTGCTAGCAGAAACCAAATTTTACTAACAATAAATTCCAGGATTTCAGTAGATACTCCTATCAGTCATAGAAGTTGAGTTTTTGTTCTTGTAAATGAAACAGGCATTGGAGAGGTCCACAATGAAATCATGCACCATCTCTGATCATTGTGCATATGTTAGGTGGCCATGAGACTCTGAGCCTCAGTAAGAATACTTAGGTATTGAGCTCCATTGATGAGCCCCATATGAATGCTAAAGGAAAAGATTGAAATAAATGTGTTTCATAGAGAAGCAAAATAATATTTAGGAGATTAAATATCATTCAAACTGTGGAAAAATTTGAAAGTCTACCTTTAACGTGTCTCCTGGGAGCAGCAGCATAATAGTAATAATGTTGATGTGGTCCTTGAGGAAAGGCAAATAACATCCCATCCTTTTTATAGCTCTGTATTGCCTCAGATCACTTGCTATGCCTGCTAGTAGCATGCTTTGCCTACAGTTCCATCCCTCTTCCTCCTGAGCAAATGCCACATAACCAAGACATTGAAAAATGAAACATGCATCATCATTTTCCTTTCATTCAAATAATTTGGCTGCAACTCCTGTTTATACCATCACTTCCTAGTTTACTTCATGAAACACCTTTGTTGTAGCATTGCGTCCTTGATGCCCTGGCTTCTCTCTGGGGAGATGATATAAACCTTTGTATTTTTTTTGGTTAATTGTAAACTTCTCTCCACATTGTACTGAACACAAATTGACTGACTAGACAAGCTACTTTTTAATGAGAGAGCCCATTAATTTCAGTTTGCTTCTGAAGAAGTTTGGTATCCTCTGGAATGTAATACTGAGTAGATTTCCTACTCATGGACATGTTGCATCAGTAAGTTATATAACTTGATGCCGTGCTTTGAAGCAAGATGGAATATACCTAAATAATTCCCTGGCAAATACGTGTTTATTAGAAGTCTGTTCTTTAAGTTCTAGAGTAAGGGGACTCCGCATAGTTATTCTTTAGTAAGATTAGTTACTGTGGCTTTTTTCTAATTTTTAGTAATTGAGGTTAATTTAATTTAGTTGTCTTACTCTTAGTGGACAGAAAGAACAATTTGCCAGTGCCTTTCTTTGATAAGGCAACAGGCTGAATGGAAAGGGAGACAGAAGTAAACATGTGAAAAGATTCCTCCTCTTGTCCATGAAACCAGCATAGAATAAGAGGGAATGTTATTCAAATTAAGCATCCCATGTCCAATTTTGCCATCTGTGGCAGCACATTTGGTCTTTATATAATGTTCACAGAAAGAAACTAGCTATGACTATATTGAGAAGATTATGCCTTAAGCATTTCCCATACGGTAACACATCAAGCTGTTACTAATGTGCCTTCCAAAGCCTGGGACAGAGACAAACAATGCGAAGCCTGGAATGAGTTAAAATATAATTCAGTAGCATACCATAAAAGAATATACGCAATCCTTTAGAGTATCACACAGAAGTCAAAGAAGCCAGCTTGCTTAGGTGAGATGGTGTTACTCTGCTTTGGGATGTCATGAGAAAGGGCTCTTAGACTTGTTCTGTGTTTCTTTGAATGTTAATAGATCTTAACATACAAAAAAGGGTTACCTGCTTAGGGCATGGCACATCTTAAAACAAGGGTATTCCAGACACTTCATTAGGTGTTCTCATCCCAAACACATTTCCTCCATGGTATCCAAAGGGTAATGCAAGATATCTCCATTGACACTCTGTGGCTCCACTGGGGTCAGAACAGGAAGAAATACGTTCCAGTGACAGCCATTCATAGCAAGTGGAAAAAACAGGATGACAAATACTTTAATCTCAAGGGTTTTTAGGAAATTTTGCTATAATCTGATTTTTAGTAAGACTTTTAATGCAATCCCATGTGATGTTATTCACACTAGGTCAGAATCAACCTTCACCTACCCATAATTCCCAATAGGCTGTGAGCAGAGGACAGTGCAAGAATGAGGCAAACATGGCATTTTCCCCTTTTGCTCCCCTCACCCTGACAAGCTGTTGCTCAGGGAGTACCGGAATTAAAAGATGATATCTTGACCTGTAATAGCCTGGATAGAATTTTTTCTTTGAATTTGTCTAGCTACTTTTCAACTTTTTTATGTTTTTAGAGCCCATGGCATCCTAAAACAGTGAATTTCACAGTTTTTCATACATATTGTATGCATCATGTTGCGATTAGAGAATATAAGATACAGTACGTGTGGGCTGAATGAAATGATAACAGTGTGGATGCTCAGCTAACTGCAAAACTATTCTTAGAGAGTAGTTATCAATGCTTCACTGTCCTACAAAGAAATATCAAGTGGGATTCTGTGCTGGTTTGTCCTGGGTCAATTAATCGTAAAAATATCCATTAATAATATGAGAGTGGTAATAAAGAGCCTTTTATAATCAACTATGTCATTCAAACTCCCCAAAGGGAGAAACTCAAAAGTCACTGTATTGGACAAAATGTAATCAGAAAGAACCAGCAGTAGAAAAGAAATACTGACCAAGCAGCTTCCCAGACAGTGGTATTTGTCAACGGCCAGAGTGCATCTGAGCACATTTTCACTGTGTGTGAATCACAGAATGTGACTGTGTTAATGCATGCTACCTTAATCCACAAGTGGCCAATGGGATCACTTTTAGACAAAGACATTATTCCTTCTTAATCGTTTTATCACACTTGGACTTTTGGATAGACAAAGATTACATGTGTTGAAGTAACTATGTAATGCCTTCCAGGAGAAAAAGTCTCCTTCTGAAGGTCTGCCTTAC